GTTATGTTGTTCAGAGAGTATATACAATATAGCCGGTAGGAAAGAAAAAATAATTGTATGGTTTGTTTATGAGAGATTAAAGAAAAAAAATGCTTCTTGCTAATCTGGTATAGGAAGTGCATAGGCAAGTGAACTGATAATCACTTGAAGGTGTGTCAATCCATAGCGTGAGCGAGCTTGATATCACCAGATAGTGATGTTCCCTTCGATTTGCTGTAAACATTGAGAAAACATATATTGACTATATTTATAAGATGAAACCAAGTTTATATATCAGCTAGCTCATGCAAGACGAAGGCCTTAGTCTGAAGGGACTGGATTTGAATCATGTCTTCCATCCAATGGTCTGGTGCTGGACTGAAACAATTCAAGTTCTAGCTGAATAAACAACAGTGCACATATATAGTAATGAAAAACGGATTCAATACAAAAAAAAAAAGAGTTAACCATCAAAGATGGATAAGGTAGTTTTTACAAAATCTCTGTATATCTGAATATATAATAAAATAATGATGGTAAGCTTGGCAAATTGCAATTTCATACGTACATGATACATATATCGATGGAACCCAAAGTACTGAATTTCCTGATTGATTGCTCTGCAACAGGAGATGGAAGTCATGGAACCCCCAAATGAATTGCTCGATCGACTGATCCAGAACAGGACAATATATATGCCTTTCAGCGTGATGCTTCTTCCACCTGCAGTAAATTTGGGGATCATCATCAGAATTTACACACAAAATCCAACAAATAAAATGTCAAGTAAATTTTCACAGGTGCATTACATTCCGAAGCAAACCAACAACAGAAAAGGCAAGAGAAAATTCTGATAAAACAAAGGAGCACACGTAAAGTAGATACACAAATAAGAAACGGTATGCGAGGAAAGGAGGGTGAGAGGAATAAAAATGGCACCCGCCAGGTCGCCAATGAAACGGAAGAGGATTGATGATGATGCAGGTATATGCCCATGGAAGATGTAATACAAACAGAAACAGATATAGAAGAGGATATAAAGCAATCCATTTTAATGACACACGTTATCAACTCATCAAATGAGGAGGCGAGAAGACCAGGAAGCAACGGGATAGGAAGCTGGGAGACGGCGGGAGAGGAAGTGGCGCTATACATTGGTGGGCGTCGACGGTTTTCTGGGAGGCGGAGCCGACCCAATGTAGAGGAAGCGGAGTGGTGGGGGAGGAAAGGACGCTGCGTGCAGTGGGGGGTGCAAGGCTGGGAGCGGCGCGAGAGGAGCGCAAGCGGCGCCACGTTCCACGCGTGCTTTTGTGGGGAGGGTAGCGAACAGTCAATGGTCTTGGTGGGGAAGAGACGGGAGGTGCTTTTGGGCTTTCACGTGTGGGCTATGCTAAGCAGGATCCATGTTGTTAGGATTGGACTGTGCTGACCAAGATCCAGACCATTGGTACTTGATCCAACGGTTACTATTTATTTGGATGAACCACATAACAGCAAAATAGGTAATAACTACACTAAGTGAGGATCACTTATATAGTATTATAGGATAACTGGCTATTAAGTAATTAATGCAGCACCAATATAACTGCTCGATCGTCAGTTTATCCTGCTGGCTCTCTATGGCCAAAAAAAAAAAGAATCAATTAATTAATTAGCCTCCATATATCTCTTATACCGATTGCAGGGTGCAAACCCTAGCAGCACATTGGGCCACATGGCCAAACCTAGAAGCAAAGTTTACATGTCTTAGACACGCGCCACGTGGCCGCGTGCTATTGCAAGGTTCGGTTCGCACTCGCATCTATTGGATTATGAATCAACGGTAGAGATGGTCAAAGGACGTAACTGTAAAATTTGATCTTTCAAGGGTGTTTAGCGCAAAAGCTGGCATCCATTCTAGAGAAATTCTCCCCTCTTCTCGCCGGAAGAAAATTCCTACACTCATATGAAGGACTTAGTCCCCTTACGTGACACGTGTCCATTCCGACGATTCGCGAACCGCCTCCGACGTTGGCCACCGTCGCACCTCGCCGATTCCCATCCCTAAAAACCCTAGCCCACAGAGCCTCCCTCTTCACTGCACCTGTGAACGCGCCTGCGCCGGCGAAGGAGCATGGATGCTGCGAGCGCGGCCATGCGGCGCGGCGCGCATCTGCAGTAGGCACGACGAGGGCATGGGTCGGGTGGTTGACCCCTTGGCTCGATGAGCGGCCCAAGGGCTACCTCTTCAAGCGGTCGTCGCCGCTGGCAGGGGAGTTCCGTAAGTGGGTGGACTAGGAGCTTCCATGCTACCTCACCGTCGTCATTCTCGGCATCAGGCTCAACACAAAGCCCAACCTCACCCTGCAGACCTGGCCGCACTAGAAAGGGCGCAAACAGGCAACAGCAACAGGAGCTGCTGGTGTCCGTGGAGGCCCAGGCCGAGTGATTTGCACACCTCAGGTCACCTCAAAACCTACACTGCGTTTGTTTTGCTTCCAATTAGATTGTTGAGACTTGAGATGTGCGGGCTAAACACTGTGTTGTTGTTTTTGTTTGATGGATTTTAATTTTATCCGATGATGGCGAATGCCCTGAATATTCTGAAATGCTTTTCAATTGTATCATTTCCCCCTCTTTAGATATGCCGCACTGCAATTTTTTTTGTGAGCACAATTAGAATTTAACTTGTCTCTCCCATTCCCAAATAACTTGCTTGCACTTGCAGATTTTGTATTCGGGTTTGGTAGAGCATAAATCAATTGTCGTGATGAATCCTGAAGCCAATCTCTGAACAAAAATAGCTATCCCTCTTGCCGAATATGATGGCATTGTTAGGATCTCTAAAAATAACTTAGAAACATGCCACAATGGATAATTATGTACTGTAGCACCGGTGGCTATTATATATAAACCTACCTCTTTTTTATTTTGCTTAAATTTCTCTCCAGTTCATTACTTCATTTCATGCCAAGTTGCCAATTATCCTATCAATTTATTTTACCCATCCGTTCAAGAAACTATCACTTAACATGAGACATGCATTGTATTGTCATTAGTTTTAAAGGACATACTTTTACCATCACCTGGCAAACCATAGAGCATATTAAGGTCAGATAGCATGATATCTAGGGTTCTTAGCTGCTACCATAGATCATGACCATAGTGCTTTGTTTTTTGTTTTCCATTTTCTCGGTGTCTTGCTAATCATATAGCTAAGATTTTTTTTTCCCAAATACCAGTTCCGAGAAACCTAACAGCTCTTTATATTCGTCCACACTCCACAACAATTAAACACACATGCAGAGAAATATAAAGGCTCCTTTGAGTAGGAATATTTATGTTTTCAATTCCATTTGCCTAAAACTAACGATCAGGTTAGGGAAGACAAGAAAATAGATTTTTATTTTGTCAATTTTGAATATTTTAGCTGATCAGGTTTTGTTATCATGATGAATAATGTCCGTGAATATAATGTCTTGTCTTCCCTGCAAGGCTTCTGAATATAATTTTCTATTGGTAAACTTCCTTGATATATGTTCTGATGGTTTGTCATGACAACCTGTACGATGAACGATTCCTGTTCTTCCAGCAACTCCTTCTTCTTGCATTCAAGAACGCGAATTTGGTTCTGAAAAAGAAGTATATGTACTTTATCTCTGTATGACTGCACTTGCATGCCACTGACACACTCACGGTGGGCTGGCCGCTCATCGATGACCAGAAGCCGGTCTTGGAGCGCGGCAAGTTCACACTCAGATTCTTCCAACCTCAAGGTAATTAAAATTGATCGTCCTCTTCTCCGATCCACGCACAATTTTAGTTGTTCATTACCTTAATTAAATCAGTGTCCCTTAGGGTTGTTTGATTGAGTGAAATTAATTTTGCATGGTACATAACAACTGCAACTTGAGAAACATATCCCTTATAATATGCTAGCATGAACCATGCTGGTCTAGATGAAAACATGTTTATTTAGCAACTCAGAAAAAAAAGAGAATCTCATCGGTGCAGAAAATCAGCACTACAATTTTGCACAACTGCCTGCAGAAAATATTCCTTACTACTAGTAAGGCAGTAACAAAGATTTCTCTTGCCTTCATTTCTCTCTTTCTTATTACCAGGAATGGAAGGCCAAATCACTTTTGTTGTTCGTGAAAATTGTAAGGTTATAACTTAGATACCTTTTTATACTCAGGGTATCATGAAATTTAGATGGTGATGTTCTTTGTATAGGACCGCCTGTGCCTTTGGAGATTAAAAAAGCATATTTCAATTTGTTATCCCCTTTTCCACTTTGCAGCCATTTTGTTGGTCCATTTTTTTATCCCTTTTGATGCTACTATATGGTGTGCTTGATAATAGTTGATAAACAAAGGGATTCTTTTCAGGCTGCAAAAGGCTAAAGGCATATGCTTGATGATTTGTTCATCAATTTTTTCTTTCAGTTTTGTTATAGCTATTAATTGATACCATTTTTTATTGCAACGCATTATTAGCATATGGTATTATCACTTACTGATGTGTAATTTTAACTTTGACATTTCTTACTTAGTGCAGAAAATTCATCGAAAATAATCATGCCATTACTTGGCATCAGTCCCCATCATCTGTGTCCTCATCTTACATGGGGTGAGCTCGAATAGTTTGTCATGGACATATAAGAGTGAAACTAAAAGCTATGTATTCGATGACTATGTACGGATAATAAGGATATCACACTTCTCCCTAGTTGGCTTGGTGATATAATCGCTCCTTTCAGTCCTATCACACGGTGGCTTGCTGAGTTATTACCTACTCTGGCTTGTTAAGGCTCACGAGCTAGCTCGCTATCTCTAATGAGTTTTAAAGCCAGCTCGGCTCGTATAAAAATGAAACAAGTCGAGTCGAGCCGAGCTTGTCACGACCTGAGCGAGCTAACGAGCCATGAGCTTTTTGTCTACCCTTAATAGTAATCAATACTTTTATGGTAATGATCATGTATAGTAACATGTATTTTGTTTCTAATTTGCCTCGCTGCACTGGCAACATTGCAGCTAGAGTTGATAATGATTTTTAATTTTTTGCCATTCACTCCTGTTCATATAAATGTAACAGGTAATACCTCTATTTGGCCCAATTGGGCTGGCGCATGTACACTCGGCAAAGCCCCGTTGTGTTTCTAGTACATACTATATAAGCGAATTATACATATATCAGACGACGATAGATAGAGAGATGATATAACGCCGGTCGACGATGGATGGATCGAGATCAGAGGCAAGCGAGGGCCTGGAGCGAGCCCTTGGAGATGCCCTTGGCGTTGGTGCAGACGGCCATGGTCTTGTTGTCCTTGCCGTCGTACTTCAGGTTGACGTCGAGCAGCTCCATGCCGCTGCAGGGCAGCTGGTCAGAGCAGAGTAGGCTGACGGCCTCCGGCGTGTTGGAGGTGCCGGTGATGTTGCGGAACGTCACGTTCTTGATGGTCACCGTCTTGCTCCCCTTCTTCTCGGGGCAGTCCTTCTCGGGGCAGTACTTCTGGTCCACGATCACCGGGTTGGCCACCCCGTCCATCCGAATGTTCTCGAACGTTAGCCTGGACGCCGTGATCGGGGACAGCACGTCCTCATACGACTTGATCCGGACGCCGTTGGAGGTGTTGCGGAGCACGCAGTCGCGGACCGTCACGTCCGTCACGTCCTTCTCGTCCTTGAACCTGCCCAGGCACCCCACGCTGATCCCCTGCCCGGGCCCACAGGTGATCCCCTGGATGCTGATCCGCGAGCTCCCCGGCCCCACGGAGATGCAGTCGTCCCCCGTCGCGATGGTCGCGTCCGACACGCTGATCTCCGACGAGTCGCCGATGTGGACACCGTCCGTGTTCGGGCTGTTCGCCACCGCGGTGATGGTCACGTTCTTGATCGTCACACCCTTGGACATGTACACGTTGATGTGGAAGAACTTGGCGTTCACCAGCTTGAGCCCCGACACGGTCCCGTTCTTCACGTAGTCCAGCACCAACGTCTATGTACATATGCATGCATGCATATTACTAATGACTCTTACGTTGTCGATCGATCGATCTGTTTTATTATATATACTCTTAATTACGTACGTTGGGCAAGATCTTGCATTCGTCTTTCCAGACGGCGGCGCCCTGGCCGTCGAGGGTGCCGGAGCCGTTGACGAGGACGTTGTCGATGTGGAGGATCTCGATCCAGTTGCCCTTGTTGTACTTGGGGATGTCGTTGGAGCCAAACATGGTGCCATCGATCTGGACGGTGACGTAGCCCTTGCACGGCCCGCTGAAGTTGAGGGGCCCGGTCATGAATTCTCCCTTGGGGATCACCACCTTCTGTGACCCGGCCAACCCGCACGCCGCGTCCCATGCATCCTGGACCGCCTGCACACATCATATCGATCGACCACCGAAGCCAACCCGTATGAATCTCGACGAAAACCACCTGATCTGTACATACATGGAGGTGCTGGGAAAAGAGACCGTTTCTTGTGCATGTGACCTCACCTTGGTGCTATCTGTCTTGCCGTCAGCGACGGCGCCGAGCTCGGTGATGTCGAAGACCGTGTTGACCGCCGCTGCTAGGCCAGGAGCACTAGCGACCTTGGCCTCAGACTTTTTGGCATATGCGGCGCCGTAGACGACGCTAAGGATGAACATGAACCTGATGACGTTGTCCATCGTCACAGCCATTTTCTGTCGCTACTGCTCGGGAAACGCTCGATCGGATTCCTTCTCTCCTCGGCGACGCAGAGAAGCTCGGGAAGATAAGCTGACACCGAGAGGAGGCCCATTTCCTATGTTTAAGGCATGGTGGTCTTGGCCTCTGCTATTTTTAGGCAATCCTTGAGCTGGCGCCCTTGTATCCTCTAGTTTTGACATGTTGGTTTTTGTTGTTCATATCTCTCGGACCACAGCTAGCTCAGTTTGCGCCAAAGCTAGTTGGCGCGTGCGCGTTGGCGGCGCGCGATTTTTCGCAAGGAGGTAGTTTAATTGACCCCCTCGAGGAGGCCGCCAACCATGGGCTGGGCCTTCCTGGCCTATTTTCATCAGGCGGCCTCCTCTCTTGCTTACATATATAGACTTGTGAATTTTGGGATGGTTTGATCGTGTGAAATTAGTGTTCTCAGCCCACTTGTCTGCAAGTCTGATTCTCGACAACGTCCAATTGATTAATCATCCATTTCGCTGTCGATTCTCCTCCATTTATGTTTATTCTTTGCAAGATGTTAGTAGTCCTAGTGCTAGTGGAATATATCTTATGCTAACATGAATATGCATTGCAAGGATAACTAGTTCTCTTTTATTTCAGTAATATTGACGGGTGAAACTGATCGATAACGACCGTCAACAATTACACGGATTGGAGGGACCATATGCCAATCAAAACCATCTAGAATTGAGCCCAATCAAAGTACATCATGTTGGGAGCCCACCAAGCAGCCACCCAGCTGAAGGAGTGGCCGGCAGGTGGGCCAGAAGTTCGGCCGAACCAACTCTGGCACCCCTCGCGGCTAGCTTCCACGTGGCAACCGTTATCTCCCTCCTGAAGGCATTAGCGTAGGTCCCAAGGAAAGAAACTGCCATCTAATGAGGGTTGGAGGACATGTGGAGGCTTGAGAGGAGTCGGAGGGGAATATTCCCTTAAGAATCTCAACTCTCTCAAGTCATCTCACACTATAAATAGCTCCTCCACTCCTATCTTCCATATTATACCAACAAGTGGAGTACAACTCTCTGTTAAGCTTTTTATCATTCTGGCATCGACGCATTTATTCGTTTACCTTTTCGTATCACTAATTCAGGTTATACACTCAGGCATTACTCTAGTAGAGTAGGAAGAGAGTAAGGGGAAGCTCCGAAATGAGTGCCCTAAATGTCGGAGTTTTCTCCGGGAGTTCCGGAGAAGTGCCGGAGATGTCAGCATTCTTCCAATGGAGTTCTGAAGGAGTGCCAAAGATATCGGCACTCTCTCCAATCTTGTATCTTGACATATGCTTCTTTTATAAGTAAGTATTCGTAATCTCCTTTGGTATTTTCTTTTCTTATTTAAATAAGATATATTCTTATCGTTGTGGGTTCAACACTCTACTTAGGTAGAGTACCTTAGTCTTTAGATGGTACCGAGATTAAGGTAGTAATCAATAGCATAGACGTGGTGTATAGGCTGGAGGTTACCTTTGTTTGTTGTGTACTCCACGGGTCGCAGAGGTAGACGGCAAGTGGTGACAACCTGTTCATCCTTCGTAATTCTCCATGTTCAGATACATCATAGAGCTATAGGCTGGAGTCTCCTTGGTAGACCAGGGGTAAGCCAGCGCCGGAAGCATTTGATAGAGTTTTACCTTAACTTAATTAAGATAACTAATCCATAGGAATACTCTATATCTGTAGCCTACCATTTAGTTGTTGTCCTTGTAAGAATCATGTTCTTAGATTATACACATATATTTCCTGTGGATACGATACCTTGGAATAGTCTTGGGTGAACGCCACAATGGTATCTATGTGCTTGTAGATTATTCTATGATCGTAATAAATAACAACAAGCTTTCTGGCACAGTTGCCGGGGAACGGTTGTTGTATCATCTTTGAACTTGGTTCATCCTCGTATCTTTTCTTTTGTGCTTTCTTCCTTCCTTTCTCTTCTCTTCTACCATGGAGCAACATATATATTCAAAATCATTCCGCTTCAAAGGGCGAATTCTTTGAGCCACTACCTTTTCAAAACCCATCTGGCTTTGAACTCCGTCCTTGCCTTGTAGCCATGGTTCGGCAGTACTCCTTCTTGCATTGTTAGGAAGACACATGGTGAATGGGGATAACTCAAAAGTAGGCGCTGTCTTGCTTTCTTCCTGTTAACCCGTGATGTATTCCTATAGATGGAAATTCTTGGCTTTTAGCAGAGTGAGAAGAAGTCTGCCTCGTATCTTCTGTTTTCCGACTTGAGGCTCATTCGCATGGTAGAAGGTCGGGATTGTATCCTAGACAACACCTCCCTTCGTCTATTGTGAAATCCTCTAGGAAATCAAGTATACCCATGAGGAGCTTCAACCGTTGAAACTAAGCCTATACCTTCTACATCCCAAAATTCAACCTTTGAGCCCTCACCCGAGCCTTAGGAACCAAAGAAAGAAGAAATTATGCCTTTGGAAATCCCTTTCTAGTTCGAGGATGATCTCTTCGAAGATTATGGAAGCACCTCGAACTATTCCTGTCAAAAGAGACCACCTGTCCCGTGTAGTGCCTCTGAGCCGTTCGAGAAAATTTTTTTCTCAAAAAGATGGTGAGAAATTTTTTTTCTCAAATAATCAATAGTTATCTTTACCCGACGGAAGATTGAGTATTCAGTTGCCATCATTACTGCAGAAAGGAGCCGTGTTACTACACATTGACCGTTGTGTTACTGCGCTGTTCCTGCGAGATGAGAACTGAAAAGAAGTGAACGTGGAGGGGAGGCAATAGGTGGGTTTGACCGACTGGAGGGCACTTGGGGCACTCCTTTCAGAGTTTCCCCTCACTCTCTTCCTATATTCTTACTCTACTAAAGAGTAGCATAAATATGAAAGTGAGTTGTACTCCACTTGAGTTGTGTGTGCTTGAAAGTGAGGAGGGAACACCCTTTTATAGGCAGCTATGACGGTTCTTATGGCAGAAACCACCCACAACTGTTACTGGGAGTGTATCCTGGTCCTAGATGGGTGGCGGTTGATGTTACTAGGAGTTCGGCTGAATCAACATTTGAAGAAACCATCTGCCGCCACAACCATCTGGCTAGAGGAGTTGATGTTGATTCAGCCGAAATCCTAGATGGGTTGTCTTCAGCCTGGCAGGCTTAGATGGACTCCTAGGGTCAGTGGGAACCTCCCTAGCAAAGTTGGGCATGGGAGGCCATAATAGTTGTTCGGCGGAACCATTTTTGGCTCATTTTAGCCTCCCCTTTGGCCTGGTCACTATCCAATTGGCCCTTATGATAGTGGACGGTGGTTAGCCTTAAATATATAGGTTTTGCTATGGTTCCTGGGCTTTCTAATCCGTGTACTTGTGTTTGATTGGTCAAAGGTGTGTTTCTTCGCATGACAGGTGGTTTTCGTCCATAATTCACCTGAAACAAATATTCACCAAGACTTGTAGAAATGGTTAGTAATTTCCACTACCTCTAAATTTGGTATTTTATTTTGTATTCTTTCATTTGCGTTTATGCTGGTTATGTTGTCAAATTATCATACAATAGTGGGTCCTATATGCCAATTAACCATGTCTCTTACTTTATGAGGGCCAGCATTGGCCCCCACCACTGCCCCCCAACCCCACCATAGTAGGTGTGAGATGAAACAATATGGATGGCTTGATTGTATATCTTGGTTAGGCATTGTGATTCCTTACGGTTATGCATTATTTTTCCCATAGGCGGTTAACCCTATGCAAACAAGCATTTATCAGTGCTCTATCACAGACACAAATTAATAATGACAACATGTATAATGGCAAGTATGGCTAGGAAAGATCTGTTGGAATAAATGGGCTAGGCCCAATTTAATTCAATTAAAATCTTAAGAGCCCACAAGTAATGTTAGAGAGAATAATACTGCCTTGAAAAATTAGGTGGAAGAACCTCAACTTAAATAGGGTGATATTGGATATTCCCTGTTGACCGGTTGAGGTAATGGTTGGACGGCCACACGCATGCACGAGTCAGCCTCGGCCGTGGGCGTAGCAAGGCGAGGCGGCCGACCGAGCCGAGCCTGCCTGCTGCTCTTTCGTTTTGTATCAGACAAGAATAAAGTCAGCATTAACAAATGAAATTCATTGTGTTGTAAACCCCACAACAAATGAGAGATTCATTGTGTTGTAACATCCACAACAAATGAGAGATTTATTTGTTGTAACATTCACAACAAATGAAAGATTCATTATGTGGTAACCTTCACAACAAATGAGATTTATTTTGTGGTAACCTTCACAACAAATGAGATTTATTTGTGTGGTAATGGAGATCTCTCTCTCTATATATATATAACGCAAGGCAGAGGCTCTCAAAGAGTGTGTCTTCCTGCTGCTATTGTTCCTTGGCGATACTCTCCTTCTGTTCCTGCACTATCTCTCTGTTTCCCCGGTTCTGTTCATCCCGCGCGCACGGGTGATCGGAACGAGCAGGTGCCTCCGAAACTCCGTCCGCTTGAGAACCTGCACGGGTAGGCGGGCGATCAAGTTTTTGGGTAGCGCTTCAAGCGCGACTGGTCTGCATCATCTTCACCAACATGTCGACAACCGGCGACAACAACAACACTGGAGACAAGGAGAAGGAGCCTCCCGTCAACACCAACAGAGGCAATACCGCCTCAAACTCCAGCGGAGGGCCATTATCAGGGTATAACGTTTCACTCTTACCGTTCGTTCTTCGTTTCCTACAACCGTCGGTCGCAATATTATTGCGTTCTCTTGTCTATGTTGATGCTTATTCTATATTAAGCATGCTCATATTGTACACATCTAGCAATGTCACTAGATCTACTCAAATTACAAATATCATGTTTATTGTCTTAAAATTTTGGATTAAAATATGCCGAATTATGACCAAATTTTCAACAATCCAAAAACTTGATAGGTCTTTTTCGGTAGTTGGCTTTGCTGCATCACTAAAACCACATGCTTTCGATGGTTAAAATTATAAAAGATGGAAAGCACGTACACTTTTGTGGTTGACGGTGATGCATTGTTTCTTTGTCTCACGGGGCAAACCGAGTGAACCGCCTCTCTC